GCAAAGAGTAGGAGTGGCAGTGTCTAGATCTAGAAAGAACGGCTATAAAAAATTCCCCATGGAAGAGGATGATATAGAAGAACCGCCCATCCCCCCCAGCCGTCATGACAGTCACCTCCATGGGACCAGGCTTTCTCCGCTCCCTGGTCTCTTGTTGGGACAGCAATGTCACTTCAAATTGCCTAACGCTACAGTCCAGCAAGGCATCAGCGTCAGTGGTGAATACGAGACTCTGGGTACTCCGCTGCTTCGGTCGCAGCGGCTGCACACTCCCCCACCTCTGAATGAGGCATCTGCATTTTCCGTTCCAGCCGCAACACCGACAAGCTCAGGCTATCATCAGCAGCCTCAGCAATACTCTTCAAGTACTGGGGGGTTAGTATATCAACTGACCACTCGGACAGACGGCCAGCCCGCCTACCGGCTCGTCTCGACAGCTGGGCGAACGGATATTTCAGGCCATCGCAAACATCAAACGGCTTCAGTAGCAGGTGGGGCAGACATGAACTCATCAGCGGCAACTCCACATTTCTTATTGGTGATATAAATAGAAAGAATAGGTGTTTTGAGGTGCTTTATGCTCACCCATTTTCCGCTTTGGCATAACTCAGCCTGTTTAAGCTGACCACGAAGTATTGGGAAGTGTTTTTATCTCGTTTTTTCAACCCGTTCGTGTTGTCAGGGCGACCTCGATGAGTGCATCTTGTCCAGACTCCTCTTCTATAGTAGTCATGATAGTTTTCAGCACAGAACCATGGTAAAGCTCAGTGATAATGCCGACTAGGATGCCGGCGAAATGTCTGAGAATGTAACAAGTCCACGGCCTGACTCTGTGAATTACTAGAGCTACCATGGCAGAGGGCTCAGGACAATCTGCGTTCGCCTAGGTCTCTCTGGCAACATGAACATGTTGTTGAAACGAGGTTAAACTGTGACCATCTTGGTCTTTACACCTTCAAGCAGTATTTAAGTCTTGAATACGCAGGTCTAGACCTGATAAAACAGTAATTGTTTCCTCATTTTATGAAAAACGAAGTCCGATTCTTAGAGCGTTGATGCTGAAATTTATTTCATTTAACTCTTTGGATTTTATGGATGGTCTTTAGGTCGTTTGACTTGAATTGGTTTGAGGACTTTTTAACAGATGTGATTCCACTACCAGATCAAGAACAAATCTTTTGTTGCCTTGCCTAAATCAAATTTATGAGCCATTTATTCACGTCACCCTCTAGGCATCTATTCTCCACTTTCATTTGCATAATCTAGTGAATTTTCACATTTTTGAATTACCTTTTTTCACTCCTTTAACTATTACTGACTCATTTGGCATATCTCTTCAGGACGTATATCAAATTCGGCTATCTAGTTGTTTAGTTCGAAGATTCTCACACCGAAGTAGAGTGAAACGCCTTGTTATATGTCTCATTTGTAAGCCCAGATATCTACTTGGTGTTGTCTTCTTATAACCAGACGAAAACTTCTTTTTCGCTTCTTAGTTTATATGTTGACTTTTATACTGTATAAGTTGAATAACCTAACTTGGCCTTGTTTCTTCACGGAATTTCTTGATATGTAAGTTAATATTATGCTATCTTCGCGTTATTGGAAATTTGTTTATCAAGGCCTCTTATGGCAAATTTTGTATTGAATAGAGTTTTCCTGCTTCGGCTTAAATTAGTTTTAAGATTGCTATGTTCTGATAGTGTCTGTTAATTTGTATACAATATCTTACATGTTTTCATCGAAGTCGAAGGTGATTGCCTTAAGGAGAGTGTCAATCAGAGTGTTTCAATAAAGTCAAGCGACAGCTGGCTAAAAGAAATTCGCTGTCGTCTTCCGGTGCGATCAACTTTTGAATCCCTTTATCGTTTATTTTCACTCGAAGTAGAATTAGACCCAAAAACTTATGCGCATTAAGTATATGCATATTGTTATTTATTATTTTGACTTGAAGTATGATTTTATTTGACCCAACTAACAGTATAATCACAGATGACCCCGTAGCAATGTTTGTCTTTTCGATATACCCACCATGGGTTGGGGCTGGTAGAGTTCTAATTTCAATTTGAAATCATACTAGCCATGTAGGATTATGATCTTATGGTTGGGAAAGTCGTATTTTTTCTTCGTCTTTAGAAATCATGGGTTTTACTTCCCTCTGGCAACTTTAACTTATCCTATGTCTCTACTGAAGTCCACTTTGAATGAGATTTTTCGGAAATAAGATTAATTTACCAAATATAGTTTCTATCTCGGCTTCTCGAAGGTTAATCAACAATCAGTACCTATGACCTTAATTAGTAAAATTTGTTTTTAGCTTTGATATCAGGTAGCTATGATTATATTTACTTAATCGATCAATACAACTAATACTCTGCGTCACCAATACCAAACTTTGAATCCAGATTCCAAGTCCTAAACTCTATTGTAACTTTTTAAATAGCGAGTTTGTTTTACTATTTTTCTACTTAATGAGCTATATGCCTGGAAATTATTTAGGCCGTGTAATCTGTCCTCCGAACTTCGCTCTTTTAAAGTTTCTTCCATATAGTCATCGGCAGCCTGTAATTTGTCATTTTCACATGGGCAGAATCCATCTTTTTGCCTTGTAGCTAAATAATTTTTTAGCTTAACATAGTAGATACTTCTAAAATCTGAGTGCTGTTTATAGGTAGAGTTCCGAATTGAATACTCACTGAGCAGTACTTGGGGGCAAAATATAGAGATTAAAACTATAACTGCGTTTTTAAAGTATAGTTCCAACGCTGCTTGTTGAAGGATTTATGTTGGATTTAGTGATCCGGATTTATTTATTTACTCAAGTACCTGATCAGAATATTGGGCGCTATTCAAAATAGCTTACTTTAAATGATCTTTATCATCTCATCTTTTCTACAAGACAACTTTAAACTAGCATGATTTTGTGAGATCATACTTTTTATCTTCACCTAAGATACGTATACCATACTCCTTTTGCATATTCTCTTTACCCGTAGTTGTGTTTCTCTTTACTAGTCAACTTTTAGGCAAGAGACTACAGTTTCTAGACTCCTTGGTCTGCTAATTTCCCTTTTTACCACATTGGGTCTCAATTTGGCCGATCGGCTCCATTTTCACACTTGCACCTCTAGATAGATATATGCATACGTCTACGCATTTGCGTTTCCCTACAATTGCACACATGTTCCTCAATTACTAGATACTCGGCGTTTCTTCCTAGCCGTGTGGCTGCTTGTGTATGCATGTGCTTTAGCAGATGTACAGCAATGGGCATCATAGCTATAGTGCACTGACATGCCGGAACGCTGGCTTTCACTACTCTCCGAGATGAAGACCTTTGGTCTTGTAACTGTGGCGGCACTTCGTGACCTCGGTCTCGTCTCGCTCTCATGCGAGCCGCTTATCCACCTTTGAATATACTGGCTAAACCCATACACATACATAAACACGCACGCGTATATATATATATATATACCTTTAAATTCACACATACGAGTGCACATACAAGTTCAAATGTTGAAGCACGCACTCACATAATTGGTGGATAGTGTTCGCGCTCTCATGTACACCTTAGAAGCTGTTGGCCTGGTACGAGGCAAGGATAGATCGATTACATCTAAGCCCGCACTTGGTCTGCTTTTGCGAGTTCTGCGGGGTAGCATGCCAACTATTGGTACCCCCACATCAGACACATATCTACACGCCAGGAGTGCGTGGTCTTCGAGCCTTTAATTGCTAATTCTGCTCAGTTTAGACGCAATTATGGTCTTAGTACCTGCCAGAGTCTCTGAGTTCGATCCAATGGAGGGACATTATAATTTGGCGGGCCAAAAGCTCTCCTTCGCCAATTCGTGTCCTTCGCTTAAAAAATGGTAGCTGAAATCCTTATTACGTTTTTGCTTTATTTATTTAATTTAAGTCAGTTTTCCTCACGCCAAGGCTTTAGTATTTTCTTTCGAAAACAAACTTAGTAAAGTGATTTTTTGTTTCATGTAAGCACAACAATATCGATTATAATTATTATCCTAGACACCATTTAAGAAAGAGAGGTCTGCGTCTATGGGTTAATAGTATTTCAAAGAATTCTACCCTGGATGTTGCTCTTTCAGTGATTATTACTAACCTGGATGGTCTGGCCTCTGTTCTTTTACTAATCCCTTAGTATCCTGTCTGAAAGGGACAATCTTTTAGTATCTGCTTTGATTTATTGCTATGCTGTGTTCAGGGTTACATTAAAATATGTAATTTTAGCTTAATAGTTGTTCCCGGGCTTTTTCAGCTATTCATTCTTATATGCACAT